TGTGGATCAAATCCCTCCGAACCACGTCTCAGCTTTTTAACCGGTTTAATCTTCAGGTGAAAGGGGAGATCCAGAGCAGAAACCCACTGAAAAGCTACCTGAGGAGCAAAGAGAGGACACACTTTGCATTCAAACCGCCGTCCCACCCAAACCTGAATAACACGGACCCTCAATAAGACCGATCAATTAATTAAGCGGATCAATAAGACTTATGGACACCGTTTTAGGGCCCAAATGTGCTTTTATTTTGATTTTTAAACATGGTCATGTAGGAAATCCTGCTTTGAGTAACTCAGAAAAAGCCAAATCTGTGTCTCCACCACTGAAAATACAGAAAATAGTTTGTTTTGTTTATTAGTTTGACTTGAAGCTAAAAGTTTCCTCTTCTTTCCTTTTATGGTGCATTTTTTGGTCATTTTAAGCCTTGTTTTGCTTTTAGGTGAATATTTGGTCAATTTAGCCTTGGTTTTGTTTTTTTGTTGTATTTATGGTATTTTTGTAACCTTGTTTTAGCTTTTGTTGTTATTTTAAGCCTTGTTTTTGCTTTTAGGTGAATATTCGGTCAAGTTAGCCTTGGTTTTGTTTTTTGTTGTATTTATGGTATTTTTAGCCGTTTTAGCTTTTTGGGTGTACTTTTGGTGTTATTTTAAGCTTTGTTTTTTCTTTTAGGTCAATTTTGGTTTAGTTTTGCTTTGTTTTTGTTTTTTTGTTTTATTTAAGGTATTTTTTAGCCTTGGTTCTGTATTTTAGGTGTATTTTTTCATCATTTTTAGCCTTGTTTTTCCTTTTTTGGTGTATATAAACACATCCCTCTATCAGAGCTGGTGTTCTGGTCCCCTGGCTCAGCTTTCTCTCGTTTAAACTCTCAGAGGCCTCTTTCAGCCCTCAGCTGGTAGAAACCGCTCAGAAAGCAGAAAGCAGAAAGCAGAAGCGATGCTTTTCTGGACCTCCTTTCAGTTCAGTTAGACGCTTTTTAAAGAGAGAGCATCCAGACATTTAACCTCAGAATAAGCTAACGGAGGCCCGCAGAGTCCTGGAAAGACCAACAGAAGCCCTGAACGTCTCCGTTCACGCACAATAAAGTGAAAAAAGGAGCAACACAGTGACCAGGCCTCTGCTTTTGTAAGCAGGTCCCCACACAGGAAGTCTCAAAACTTAAAATAGAGGCTGTCATTTCCCCCTCACGTGCAGAATGGATGGAGAGAAGAGCCACTTTCTTTCTTTCCCATCCATCAGATCTAGGAGTCCTGAGCCAAAAGCTGCACAGTTTGCACAGCTGAGAGTGCGCGCGTGCGTGTGTGTGTGTGTGTGTGTTAGTGTGCGTGAGTGTGTGTGTGTGTGTGCCACTCCATTGTTTGCCTTCCCAGGCAGCCACTTGAAGGGAAAGGTCTGACGGATGTGTTTGAACAGGAGCAATCTTGGCTCCGGCTTGTTTGCGCACACTAATCCGCTCTTATCGCGCATTTCTGCGCGGAAAGCTGCGGACTTTCTGCGGCTTTTTGGGAGACACCATCACGGCCAAACATTCCCCAAACTCCCCCCCAACATCCCCAACTTCACCCCCCCCAACCGGTCAATGCTCACAACTCCTTCAGACACGACCTGGACGAACCAAACTAGACGTAAACAGACGGAAACGTGGCGGCCGTTAAAAAAAAAAAACACGGGTGGAAAAGTTTTTTTCAACTTCCCACGGACGGTTGAAGATCCTACCTCCCATTGGACGAGTTTCCTGCGTTTTTGTTGTCCTGTTCGGCCTCGAAAACGAGCCGGGCCACGGTCCGGGAGGTGATGTTAAAATCCACTTTTTCACAGGAACACATCAACATACCGGCTAGCTGCTAGCTTACAGCCCGCTAACGTTATTCTCCCCCCCCCCCAACGACGGTTAGCAGGCTTTAATTTCCAAAAGAACAACTACCACTTGCAGCTCTCCCATTTTGGCTTCAACCCCCCCACCAGAGTTTAAATGTGGTTACCGGATAACCGCCGACATTAGCTTAGCTAACCTGGTTTAAAGAGCCGGACAAATGCGCTTTTTGTCTAAAAGGGAAAAGGGACGATGTCAGTTGGTGGACCGGTCCATTCCGTTCGGAGGGGGGGTGAAAACAAAAACGTGAAAAATAACACCACAAAAGCCAAGTTAATCTTTAGTAACATACAAATAAACCCACGATAACAATTAACATTAGCCAACTAAAAATAAATCAATCGCCTTTTCTGTCATCGACATAATAGAGGAAAGGAAATGTTGCACCCCCGTTAGAAACTTTGTGGTACAGTCCAGGAAAATAACTGTCCTGAGGATGTGGCAGCGAGAAGAGCAGCTTTAAACCCACTAAAATGCACCCACAACCTGTTTTATTGAGCATTTAATCAACTTAAAATACTGTAATAAATTAATAAAATGTTTTTCCCCGGTTACCGAGGCTATTTTAGCACGAATACCCGCCAACTTCTTTTAATTTAACCGACTCTGCGCGTGGAGACGGGCATTAAAATAGTATCAGACACCACAGACTAGAAACAGTAAGAAATAAAAATAAAAGCAGATTTGGCTTTATTTCTGAGTTAATCTGAAAGCAGGATACGTGAGGAGGGATTGTTGTAATTTATTGAGAATCACACAGCGACCTCTGGTGTCTAATCAGAGTATGTGCAGTTATTTACTAAAACTGTCCCTCAGTAAAACAGGAAAAACGATGACATTTTCACACTCAGTGGGTGTAAATGTAGCTAGTTTAGTTTAGTTAAATACAACAGAAAAGGATTTAATTGGACCTATAACACTGTCAGGTTCAGTAAGACGTACACAAAGTTGTTGATTTCTTTTCTTACTTTGAGTTGAATGACTAAACAAACTCTACTCTGGAGTTATTATCCCTGTTTTTGCTAATTTTTAACCATGACCAGACATTATTTGAATACAAAGAAGGGCATTAATCAGAGCTGAGTCTTACCTCCGGCCTCCCGCATCCCTTCATTTGATCCCATACACCAGTGGGAGATTAGATGTCAGAAACAGGAAACGGAGCCCATCAGAGGTCACCTTCTCCACTGAAAATACAGAAAATCCATTGTTTTATTTCTTAGTTTG